GAGGCTAAACCTATGAGCAACAGAGGACCTGAAGGAGACGGTTAAGACCAGACAGAGTTCAGGACAGCGGCCAGAGAAATGGGACCGAACGGGCCAATGTGAGCCTTGTCCCCCAGGACAATAGGGACACTTCACAGACAGGCTGACGGCAGAGTCCAGAACAACTCAGAGGTTCTACTTCTGGCAGACACAGAAGTGCCTGGAGCAGGCAGTCAATGTCCGATGGTAAGCACCGATGAGAAACCCAGATGGGGAGGGAACTCAAGCAGCATTGTGGGGCCACTCGAAGGAGTGCCAGGGTTGTGAGGTATTTTAATGTCTGGCCACCCTCTCATGCTCAAAGCTACTACAGCAGACCAAGAATTAAAGCTCCAGAAGAGATCAGGGCTTAGGTTTTAGCAGCTGTCTGAGAAGTGATAGAAAAATCTAGAAAGCCCATATAATCCTTGGGAAACTGCAGGGAAAGAATTTCAGGGTAAACAATGAGGCTGCAAAGAAAAGAGGGAATGAAGACTGAAGATCCACTGCATTTGGTGACCTGGAGGCTGGTGCCCTTGGATGGAGTTCCGGAAGAGGAGGGACAGAGACTGGTATGGTGCACACTGACATGTACAGGCTGAGTGTCCCTTAACTGAAATGCTTGGGACCAAGAGCATTTCAGATCCTGAATTTTTTTCTGATTATGGGATATTTACATGTACACAATAAGCTATCCTGGGGATAGGCCCAAGGCTAAACATGAAATGTAGTTATGCTTCACCTACACCTTATACACACAGTCTGAAGGTAATTTTGTATGATACCAAAATATTGGTTTTGACATGACATGAAGTCAGGTGCAGGATTTTTCACTTGTGGTATATCATGTTGGTGATCAAAATTTTTCGGATTTTGGAGCCTTTCAGATTCTGGATTTTCAGATTAGGAATGTTCAACCTATATCCATACATAACGGGGATCAGATAGTGTACAGTACTAATGAGGTGGAAAAAGTATTTTCTCATGGAAGTTCCATCAGATTAGGAATGTTCAACCTATATCCATACATAACGGGGATCAGATAGTGTACAGTACTAATGAGGTGGAAAAAGTATTTTCTCATGGAAGTTCCACCGTATTAGAAGGGGAAGAAGTTCTTTCACTCACAGAAGACCTCTTACTTAGTATAACTGTGAAACCCAGCCCAGGAGTATGTACTTGGGACACTTTGTAGAGATGCCTCCAGCATTTCCACTCTGGGTGGCTCTGGAGAAGCTGGGTGGGGGTGTAGAATGTGGCATTTGCATGTGGATCTTGGCCATGGTGGCAGAGGCTGGCTTTAAGCAAGACATTGAACTTTTCTGAGTCTCAGTTTTCTGTTACCAAATTCTTACTTTGCCTGCCTTCTAGAAATATTGCAGGAAGTGTGGAAAACGCTCTGTGAACTAAGAAATGCTCTGCAGTGTATGTGGGTCATTATTATTCCAACTCTACTACCAGCATAATTGAGCCGATCAGTAAAATATCATGGTTCAATTTCCTGTAATGACACTAAAAGGGACGTGTCTAGAGACAAAGGAGTCTGAAGCCCCCAGGAGAGGCAGGAGCCACCTGCTCCTAGAGTCAGGATCTGGGCTGTGCCATGCGGAGGGCTGGCACTGCACGGGCGATGGCTCAGAGAACTCACCACTGGTCTCCAGACCTGTGACGGTGATGGGATAGCAGTCCCATGACTGCGTGATGTTAAATGGCCCTGCTGACTTTAGAAAGGGGATTACCGGGGGAACCAGCAGTTAGCGTAATGGCTATGTCGCTGGATTCCCACGTAGTCGACCGCGGTTCGTGTCCCGGACCCGGTGGCTTAAAACTCACGCCGGGCGCGTGTGCGTGCGTGCCTAAGATCCCGAGAGGAGAATGGAGGAGAAGGGATTGTGGCGTGACCATCCCCCCTGGGGGGTGATTTCTCGCTTTCTGTCTCTATGTCTCTCTCTGTCTGTCTGGCGAGCGCACACGCCCTACAGTGAAAATCTCTCTCTCAAAAAAAAAAAAAAAAAAAAAAAAAAAAAAGAAAGGGGATTATCTAGGAGAGCTTGATCCAATCACACATGCCCTTAAGGACAGATTTCAGGGCCCAGTGGGTGGCATTGTGGTTAAGGTACTAGGCTCCCACATGGCCAACCACGGTTTGAGTCCTGGACCTGGTGGCTTGCTTTCCCACTCTCCCTTCTCTGTTACTCTCTGGTCACAACTGAAGAATAATAACATTGTAAAAATAAATACATCTTAAAAAAAAAAAAAGGATAGAGAGCTTTCTCTGGCCAATGGCAAAAAAGCAAGTTGAAGAAATCTGAGGTGTGAGAAGGAACTGACATGACGCTGCTGGTTTGAAGGCTACGAGCGAGAAGAAACATGGGTGACCTCTTGGACCTGAGACCAGCTCTTGGCTTACAGCCAACAAGGAAGTGGGATCTCACACCTACAACTACAAGGACATGTTTTTGCTATAGAAGGGAGCTTGCAGGGCTGATAGGTGATGTGGTTAAGGTGCAAGACTCCCACATGGCTGACTGCGGTTCAGGTCCTGGACCTGGCAACTTGCTTTTCTCTTTCCCGCTCTTTGTTTCTCTCTGGTTAAATTTTAACAAATAATAATGATAATAATAAATAAAATTAAATGAGTCTTTAAAAAAAAAAAGAAGGGAGTTTACAAGAGGATATAAGCTCCAAAAATGTAGTCATTTCAGCCTGCTGAGACCCTGAGCAGGGGACCTAGCTGTGCCACTCTGGGTTGAGCCAACAGAACTGTGAGATAACAAATACATCTGTTTGGAGCCAGTAAGTGTGTGGTGAGTTGTTTTAGCAGCAACCAGAAACGAATACACACACCACTAGCTACATCCTTTCAGGTGCTGTCTATGGCCACCCCTCCCCACTCCTGCATAGTGACACTGCCGGACATTGAAAGTGTTTGCTCAGTTGGGGTGGTAACAGGGTGACAGGGTGGTGTCACAGACCTAGCTACACTGGCTAACACGTATGAATGTGACCATGTGTCAAGGTGTACTACATGCGTCAGGTCGGCCAACTCCTGAATGCTCACAGTAAGTCTATAAGGTATATTCTATTATGTTTGTTTTCTAGAGTGGAAACTGAACTACAGAAGGACTGAACTGTCTTCCTGGGTCTCACAGTTCCTAAGGATGTGGACTCGGAAGTACGGCCCCAGAAGTTGTGCTTGTGTGCCTTTCATGAAAAGTTCTGCAAACGTTCACTCCACCATGCTGGTGAGGACATCCCCAGTGAAGGCCAAGTTCAGGCATTTGGAAAGACAAGAAATCGCCCACACTGGCAGGAGGGCAGGGCCTGAGTCCTGCAGTCTGACGAGTGTCCCGGCTGCACTTGCCTCTGGGGGAGGTGCTCCAGCTTGAAGATGTGCACGGTCTCGGTGTTGCTCGAGGCGCAGAGGAACTGCGAGTCCATACTGAAAACTAGAGAGCTGATTGTCACATACCTAGAAACACGGTGGCACATGGGCCAGGAAGCCGGAAAAATGAGGGTTATTGCCTTGTAAGTCAAAGATCAGTTTTACAAGAAAAATAAATGTATCCTGCAGAACCCAGGTAAAACCGCCCCTCCCCCCAAGCCCCTTCGACATGGTGTTATTTATGTTTAGAAATGAGTGTCAGGAAGATTCACAAAGAGTTGAGGTCTCAGGTGAGGAGCAGCCTTCCCGCCATCTTGGAAGTCTTCCAGCCACTTCGCATCGATCCAGCTGTAAGCCCCACAGCCAATAATCCCCCAAACCACATGCGACATGGAAAGGAATGGGAAGTTGTTTTTGGATAGCGACTCCCCGGCCCTCTCCCTTCTCCCACACCAGCTGCCATGCACACTTCAAGAGGACCCTCGTGGCTGGACTCCTTGTTAAAATGGCATCTCTGTTTTCAATCTCACTGAGCCCGACATGGAGCCTTGAAGTCAATTACCTGAGAAAGTACACTTCTACTTCCTCCAGGTGAGGGGAGAGCACAGCGCCCCCCTCCACCCATGGACGGCTGCCAGCCAGCCACTGCCCGGCTTCCCTGGGGACTTTAAAATGGATTTGACATTGACAACACAGACCTTTTCATCCCTCGCCGGAACTCATACAGCTTCTGCCCATCAGGTACGGAGAACACCCGGATGACTGTGCCCTGGAAAAGCAATAAGGTGGACATTTCCTAACCATTAACAGCTTCACGCAGCGATGCCCCTTTAGAGACGAGTTGTTTTTATTAGTTTTGAACATCTGCCCCTGGGGAGGGAGCACAAGTGCTGCATACAGAGGCTTTCTATTCGTATATGTGCATTCTAAGCAGTTCTGGGAACATGTTTTAAGCACAGTCTCCCTTCCTACCCCAACCGCTGGCCAAGGTTCTGTGTGTGTGCGTGCGCGTGTGCCCTCAAACTGCTCTGGTTTCCTACAATATTCCATCTCTGCCAATCAAAACACACCTGCTTTTCCTGGCATTTGAAATTCAGTTGACTGTCTTCCCTGAGTAGTCCAGTCAGAAGAGATCAATCCCTCTGGCTAAATAGCAGAACATTTCGCTCACCCTACGTTTAGGATCTGTAGCCTCTATCTGCATCTAAGGACGATGTGCATGTTCATTTCTTAAGGCTGCGAGTTTTTGTGCAAAATATCTTCTTTCTTGAGTCAGTGTCAGCCTTTGGTCTGCTGCTTTAACACATGCATGGGTGGGGGCAGCAGGTGGCATGGTGGTTAAGGCACTGGACTCCCACGTGGCCAACTCCAGTTTGAGTCCTGGACCTGGTGGCTTGCTTTTCTACTTTCCCTCTCTCTCTTTCTGTCTCTCTCTGGTCAAATGAAATAACAGTAATAAGGGGACCAGCAAATGGCATAATGGTTACGTCGCTGCATGGGTGCCCAAAATCTCAAGAGGAGAACGGATAAGGGATTGCAGCATGGCCATCCCCCCCAGGGAGGTGATTTCTCACTTTCTGTCTCTCTGGCAAGTGCATGTGCTCTATAGCAAAAAATCTCTCTAAAAATAATAATCATGATTAATAAAATACAGTAATTCTTGAAAAAATTAAAAATAAAAAAAACAACATATGCACACATGCATCAATAGACCACAACAGGGTCCAGCCCATAGCTTAGTGGTTGAGAGACCTGGATTCGCCATGGCTGACCATGGTTTGAGTCCCAGCCCCTAGCTGTCTGGAAACCATGCCAGGATGTGTGCATGCCCCAAATCTCCAAAGGGATGGACAAATGGAGGGGAAGGGATACTGGTGCGACCATGCCCCACTGGAGGGTACTTTCTCCCCCCTTCACCTTTCTCGTTTTGGTGAGCACACTCACCCTCCAGCAATTAAAAAAATACATATAGGGGTTAGCAGGTGGCGAAGTGGTTAAGACGCTGGACTCCCACATAGCTGACTGCAGTCTAAGTCCTGGACCCAGTAGCCTGAAACTCATGCAGGGTGGGTGTGAGTGCATGCCCAAAACCCTGAGAGGGGAACGGAGGAGAAGGGATTGTAGCATGCTATCCTCCTTTTTTTTTTGGGGGGGGGGGAGTTTCACTATCTGTCTCTCCCTGTGTCTCCAGCAAGCACAGATGCCCTACAGCAAAAATCTCTCTCAAAAACAAAACAAAAAAATTATATACACCACAATGCAGGGGCCAGAAATGCTAATCCTGACACAAATTCAGAGCGGCCCCAGAGACCTGTCAGTCTTCACGGCAACAGTCTCGATCCGTCAGATCTCTGGGCACCGTGGGAACCTCCAGCGAACCCCAGGCAGGCGAGACCCCAGGAGTTCACTGACCTTCTCAGAAGCGCTGGCCAGCTTGGAGCCCGCGGCGTTGAAGGCGATGGCAGCCAGCGCCCCCTCGTGGGCGGCAATGGTGCAGACGCTCCTCTGTTGGTGAGG